GTTAATATATTTGGATTCACAACCGACTAAACCATTTCTAAAGCTCTATGTCCGAAAGTTAGCATCACATTCAATGGCGTTGACGTCTGATTACGAATCAGTTTATGAGTGGATATTTTACGGTCGAAACAAACAACTCTTAAACTGTCACATTACAGACGGAACATACAAATTTAGTCGATGTGGTCTATTGGCGTGTTTAATAAAGCTTTAACGATTGAATTAAACAATGTTAAAATGTAGGTTAAGAGATGCTTTAAAACTTCATAGTTAAGATTTAATTTAATTTGTTCTTACGCAGTTCCTTCTGCTGTCCTACTAATCTTGTAATAGTCTCAGAAAACGTTTTTACTCAGCCAATAATTATAAGTTTTATAGTAAATATTTTTCTTAGTAAATGTAAATGTTTATTCACGAAAAGTGAGAGTCATCATAGGTCTATGACCTGTAATATCAATGACTCAAGCCAAAATAAAAATGAGATGGGAGAACGAAAAAATAATAACAGAAATAAACAAAAGAAAAATAAACTAGAATGTGCAACGAGGATATAAAAGTAACGATGAAAAATAACCACAAATAAAATAACATTAGAGAAAAACAACCAATACAAGTTAATTATGACTAGGAACACGGCTGAATTTTACTGTAAGAGATACTGAACTAGTGCCTTTTTGAAAGACGTTAATGAAAAAAACAAATAACTGAGTCAGGAAGTTTATTCCAGTCAGTAATAGTTGAATAGCAAAAAGAAGAGAAAACTGTTTAAGAAGAAAAACCATTGACAGAGGTTGGAATGCGAACATATTTAGAATGATGACAGCGTAAAGAAGAGTAATGAGGACGATGAATAGAGTAAACAATGGAAAGAGGGTTAACACAATGATAAATTTCGAAAAACTGCACGAGTCCAAAGTATTTCCGGCGAAGTGGGAGGTTTGGGCGAGAAAGTTGTGACACAAGTAAAGAGCTAGAAAAGCGATAATCATAATTACGAGAAATAACACGGGAAGCAAGTTTATTAACAGAATCAAGTACAGAAAGCGAGACAGAACTATCGTATAAGGCACAACAATAATCAAGTTTAGAAAGAATAAAAGAAAGATGGATTCGACGTCGAATCTCTGATGGAGCTAGTCCAGAGACACGACTCAGTGCACCTAGCTTGTGCCGACAAGCAAGAGCAGTGTCTCTGGCATGTTCACTCCACCTAAGATCGTGCGAAACAAGAATTCCAAGACAGCGAACAGACGACACAACGGAAATAGGGACTTTACTGAGATACAGCTGATTGTAAACAAACGAGAAAGAAGCCAAGAACATTTAGACACATTGAGAGACATGAGATTAGTAATAGACCAATTTGAGACAGAATTTATACAGGTTTGAACATGAGAGGAATTAAACGGATTCGAAGAACAAAGAGGCACAATTAAAAAGACGTCATCCGCAAAAACACAGATTTCACAATTTTTTGGAAGAGAAGAGGCAAGTCATTAATAAAAATAGGAACTAAAAGCGGCGCAAGCACACTGCCTTGAGGAACGCCAGAAGAAACAAGAGAAGGAGAAAAGATAGAGTCAATCACACGCACACACTGTAGACGATTGGGGAGGTAAGAAGACAAGAAAGAGTAAACAGTCATTCACACCACAACACGACAATTTTTTTAACAGAAAAGAGTGAGAGACAGAGTCAAATGCTTTAGAAAAATCAAAATACACACCAACACACTTCACACTCGCATTCCAGAAGTTAGAAACAGTTGAAGACAGAAATAACAAGGCATCTAAACTAGAGTGTTTAAGGCGAAAGCCAAATTGTTTATTTACAAAGAAGGAATATTTACAGAGATGAGAAAAAATAAAATTATTAATTAAACGTTCAAACACTGTAGAAACAACAGAAAGAAGGAAGGAGGGAAACAGGACGGTAGTTAGAAATATCAGCAAGAGCACCTTTTTTGTGAATAAGAACAACGTGTGTAATTTTCCATTGTGCAGTGAAATTACCAGAAGAGAGATATAGATGAAAGACGAAATGAAGATGATGGGAAAGGATATCAACACACGAAGAGAGGAAGGAAGAGGGGATTCTATCAATACCAACAGTAGACTTTTTATCCAACTTCCAGAGTAGATTTTCAACATCACGCACGGTGACGTCCATCTTTTTATCCATCGTTGGCAACTCTGCCGTGGCAGAGGGAGGAATTTGACCCTGAAGAGAAGGATAGCAAGAAGAAAAATGAGAGGTGAAGAGTTTTTTGAAGGGTTTTATTTGCATCTGTGGAAACAGATTTGAGCCTCTATAACATAGATTAAGGAACAGAGGAGTGAGAAGAAGACAGTTTTTTTATAGAGTTTCAAAACTTGCGAGGATCGGAAAATAAAAAAGAGAGTGAGCGAAGATAAGAAGATTTTTCACGACGGTAGATAGAGAGAACAAGATTCCTTGCTTTACGAAATTCAGCAGGGTTAGAAGGAGTGTAGCGACGTTTTCGTTTCCGAAAGCATCGGTTACGGATAAGAGATAAGACGTGCAAGTTTGGGAGAAGGAGCAAGAAGAGAAGAAGAAGAGTGAGCGGACACCAGTGGAACATAACTCCTTATCGCATCATTTACATGCTCAGCCCAAATATGAACAACAGAATCAGCACCAGGGCCCGTATAAAGATCAGGTGGGATGAAAGAAAGACAACGTCGTAGCCCTGTCCACTGGGCTTTTAAAATTGTAATGAAAAGATACACGTTTAGGCAAGGATTGGACAGATACTTCGATACCAGAACTGGTGACTCATGGGAGACGTTGTTTTAGATAATGATTTCTTACAATTACTACTGCGGGCGAAACTAAATGGAATCATTGATCGTCCTGACTGTATTTGAGGGTATGATTTTTCTGTCGAATAATTAGCATCACAGTTGGAATATTATAATTATGCCTGTCTGTTAGGTTTCTATCGTGTGTAATGATGTGTCAATATGAATAAAGGTGAAATATGACGTTATAAAGTCGTTATTCTGTAACGATTATTCCATACTTTAAAACAAAAACGACGATTAGTTAACAAAATTAGGATAACGGTAAGTGTACTGTAAGAAGTATCTCGTTTGAGTTCTACACTAACACAAAATGTTCTTGGAAATTCTTATAGAAATTTTATTCGAATCTTATAATAATCTTATATAGGAAAACGCTCGAAAGTGCCACGAATTTCGTAAGAGTCTTATAAGAATCCGACAAGAGATTTGTAAGAAAGTGATAAGACTTTTCACGTTAGTCTTATCTATCTTGATGTGTAGTAATGAGTGTAATAACTTGCTATCCGATAGAGACTCATGTGAGTACTATACAAAAGGTTCTTTTGTGACTGCTTCTAGTGCTTTATCAAGACAAGTATGTAAAGGATTTTGATGCATATTACTAGTACTCGAGCTACTCTATCCTCTATCACTTAGAGAGTCCGAATTGAAGGCCACGTTTATAGAAGAAAAAAGATCGAAAGCTTCGTCATTTACTTCAGATCACTTTGAAAAACCGGAATTTATGCAAACATGCGAGATATCGTGCTCTTTATTTTCGTATGTAATTTAATTTTTTCGAATTTTATTCTTGTCCTGCATTGAAGTATACCGCCAGTTTACAGGTGAAGTTCTTACAATTCTCTTATCAGATTCTTATAAGACTCTAACGACATTCGTGGCACTTTCGAGCGTTTTCTTATATACGAATCTTGTAAGAGTGTGATAAGATTCTTACCTGGACCGTATAGGAAGCATATAAGTTTTCAGTAAGATTCTTGTCTGATTCCTTTATAAGAATCGATGACTAGGGTATCGTTGAACAATTTTACCTGCATTTTTCTCTCATCAAAGAATAAAGTATTTTTAATTATTTTCTTCTGATTTATAGATAGCATGTTTGCTCGCTCGGTTCAATTCGTCGAAGTTCAATTATTAATTGAAAAAGTAACAAACCATTAATATGTTCTCATATGGATTTTATTATTACCTGTGTATCGTATCATCCACACAAAATTATTTAAAATTATATGATGTTATTCACCATTGTGCTGAGTCGTTTGTTACCGATAGTTGCAAATTTGAATCTCCAGTGTATATTCTCATGGATAATGTCTAGGCCACTGTAAATGATTATGAATAATCAATATATTATTGAGATTGAATGATAGACAAGGCATTAATGAAGCAAATGAACAATTGTGGTTTGAGAGGAACAGAAAAACATTCTTATTAAGTTATTCAATGATCCTGAATATATGAAGTAATTGTCAAATGATTTAACTTAGCTAAAGATTTTAAACTTGAAGGTTGTAAATATGGAAAAAAGTCGAGAATACTTCGATTGTGATATCAAAAATTCAACAACGAGATATTATTACAACTGATGAATATCGATCTTATGATTTTAACGAAGTGCGCTTGTGAGATTAGTATGACTGATTTATTTATAAAACATTTACTCGTAAGATCGCTTGGCAACTAAAAAATAAATAAATTTAGATGAAAGTTGAAATCACTGTCTATGGGTTGTGCTCTATTTGGATATTCTTTCGAATAAAATTATTATTTCTATTTTTACCTATTTGCAATCACTTGATGATTGCAAAGGGAACAACGAGAAGGTGTCTCGACATTGAAATTTAGTCCGTGGTTGCTTCAATTTAAGTTAAAGATGATATAACGTTCATTTTTTCAACTCACAAAGAATGAAGTTGGCTTACGATCGAGTAATTAAAATTTTTAGAGATTTTATCAATCAACATTTTATCTAGTCGAAGTGTTTCTCTCTCTACGAAAGAAACAGGTAGTAATATGCTCTTGCGCTGATTATGTCGTTTTAATCGATACAATTAGTCTTCCAAATATAAAAATAAGAGAATAATTATTATTCAGCATTCATTTTTTTACCAATGTTTTCTGAAAACATTTTCTTTTATTGTAGAAATTGTCTGTTTTTTTCTATCACTTTTTCTAATGAGGTATCGTTGCTTTGTGCGTTATTTCACTTCAACTTCGTCATTGACGAGTCAACTTGAACCGTATATACCACCATCATGGATATCAAAAAATATTGATAAAAAATATATTCCTGATTATCGTCTACATTTAATTCGTCATGAAACATCCATTGAAGAGTGGCATTTACCTCAAATTGAAAAAAAGATTTATATTAAACGTGATGATACGATTGATGAATTAGGTTGTGGAAATAAATTAAGAAAACTTGAGTTTATATTTGCTGAAATATTAAAACGAAATTGTTCACACATAATAACAGCAGGTTCTCTGCAGAGTAATCATTGTAAAGCGGTAGCAAGCGTTGCTGCACGTTTAGGTATAAAAACACATTTATTATTAAGAACTGATATGAATCAATTAGATAGTGATCAACTATTGAAAACAGAATTTGTTCAAGGAAATGTACTACTCAACTGGTTATTTGGCTCAGAACTCTATTTAATACCAAAAAAAGCACAAATTAAAACGGATATTCAACCAAGAATGGAACAATTAGCAAAAGAGATTAAAATGAAAACAAAAGAAGACGCGCATTTGGTATCAATTGGTGGGTAAGTATTCATCAATTAAGAAATTTTCATCATATAACAAATAAAATTCAACTTTGTATATAATTTTAGATCAGATCCAATTGGTTTATTTGGTTATATGTCTTGTTTTACAGAATTAGAACCCTATTTGGATAAATTAAACATTGAACATATTGTATTACCTTTGAGTAGTGGTGGAACAATGGAAGGTCTCTCATTAGCCTCTTATTTTACCGGACGCTATAAATATTTGAAAATTCATGCATTTGCCGTGTCCGATAATCGTCGAGTATTCTATGAACATTTTCAAAATATTTTGGAACAAATTAATCTACATCAACAATTAAATGTTGAAAATTTAGTTGATATTTGTGATCAGTATGTGGGTCTAGGATATGGACGTATGACTAATGAACAAACACAGTTTATTAAACAAATTGCATCTAAAACCGGTATTATTTTGGATCCCGTATATACAGGAAAATGTCTTTGGGGTTTAATAGAAGAATTGAAAGTAAATCCAAAACGTTTTGATGGTGGAAATATTTTATTTCTACATACAGGTGGAATTTTGGGTTTAATGAATCCAACGTATGGAGAACAGTGGACATGTAATAATCATGAAAGACAAATGAAAATAAAAAATTGGATGATCATGGATAACAATGATAAATATACAGTACAATAAATTTTAATTTCTTTTATATATTGTTTATACACTTTTAGTGATATCTGTTATTCTTAAATTTGTTTAAAATTGATATTCTAGTATTTTTAAATGTTAAACCATTTTCAGATTTGTTCTATTTTCATCTAAATCAACTATTACTCATCTATAGTTGAGATGTTTTTTTACTAGCAGTGTACATGAGAATAGAACAAACACAAAGTTAATAGTTAACAATCAAACATTTGAAAAATTCTATTATTGTTATCATCTCTTTGTCTTGTACAATCTGTTCTACTATTTTAGATACGAAAATGGATGAAAATTATGAATTTTTAATTCCTCCTGAACATGCTAAAAGTATGAAAAAATACACAGTCACTTTTCCATGTTGAACAATTTAATTATTTTTATTTTTTTTTTCTAGTATTTGCCAAAGCACTTCAAGTTCTCACAAAAATGGGTGATGAAATTTATGTTGAATTAGTTAAACCTGGTGGAGTAGGTGTTCTGAGTGAAAATAAATTTTGTATTCAATAATTTTTTATATCTTTCTCTTTTTCCAGTTGAGTTTTCGTACATCGAATTCTTCTCGAAGTTCTTATGCTTGTTTTGCATTTCATCGGCAATTTTTCTATGAATGGCCAAAAGATATTTCGAAAAGTTCCATTCGATGTCGTGTGTCGGCCAAAGTAAGAGAAACAACTGTTAATTCGAAAACAAATAAAGTTTTATTTTCTATTCTCTTTGTATATTTCTAGAGATGTTTATCAGCTGTTCATGCAATATCATCATCAAAGTCGTTAACTAGGCTTATTCTTGTATTTGACGATAAAAAATCAGTACTCTCATTTATTTTACATTGTCGTTACGGTAAGTTTCATAGGAGAAAATTCTGTTTGTTTGTTTATTGTTCTAATCTTATTGAGAAAATTTTTGGTTCAGATATTGTTAAAACTCATACGTTATTTTATATCGAATGTGAAACATTACAAGCTGTTTTCTCAAAACAATCTTACAAAAATTCGGTTAGTATTTTAAGTAAAACAATACAAGATATCATCAATAATTTTCCAACAAAATGGGATGAAATAACCATTAAAGCAACACAAGATAAAATTGTATTTAAAAATTCAATGGAAAACGATGGTAGGTCACTGAAATAAAAGTTTTGTTTTGTTTTCTACCAATTTCAATTTTCGTTTTTTTCTTCTCTTATTCTGTCAGATGAAAATCAACATAGAATGTCAATTCAAATGGCTTGTGAACCAAATGAATTTTGCACATATGAAATTGAACAACCATCAGAAATTACATTTTGTCTAAAAGAATTACGAGTAGGTGTAGAAATTAATTGGATAATAATCTAAATACTTTGATTTTTCTGTTTTTTATATTAGTTTTTTTTAACTATGGCTGATGCAATTAATATTCCATTAACACTTTTATTCGATAAAAAAGGACGGTATGTCGATTATCTAATATTTGTCTCATTTTATTTCATTTTCTATCATTATATTTTATCTTTGTTCGAATTCTTCTCTTTACACTGTTTGTTTTTCCTTTAGTCCAATTATATTTTGTTTTGAATCTGATGAATATTTTTTTGATGGAACATTTGTATTTGCCACAATTGCTGGTGATGAAAATGATGAAACGAGTGGAAATAATCGAACAGACAAGTTACTTGAAACATCTCATCTTTTCCATCAGTTTATATTGTTCATTGTTTTCTAGCGACACATCTATTATGGACGTAGCAGATACATCATCTCCTTTTTGTGGTGCTAATAGAAAAAGAAATAATTCAACAGTATCATCATCGACAATAACAACAATCAATCGAACAGGAATTATTCCAAGAATTCAACAACAAACAAGACTACGATCACCACCTCCTCCTGCTGTAACACCATTTAGTCAATCTTCATCAACGCCGGATTTATCACAGACGCGTTTACCCACACATAAAGTAAGAACAACAAAAATAGTGCGAATATATTTTTATTGGATATAACTTTAATATCTGTGAACAAGTTAAATTTACGGCATTAATATCTTATTTTTTTAGTTATTTGCCGCCTATCAACAACGTATAGCCGAAGGTGACACGAGTATATTTACATTGGATCGTAGTATGGCACAAACTCAACCGTGTACGACAACAAAAATATTAGCAGTTGACAGTGATGAAGATTGAGTTTAATTTTTGTTTCTTCGTAATTTTGTTTATAAATATTGTATAGTTTTTCTCAAAAACGTGTGATATGCCCATTTTTATACATGCCGGAAGTAAAGAGTTAGTTAAATATGATAGACAAAATAGAAGACTAGATAGTATGTTGACCACAGTTCTAGTAGGAGAATAACTTTGTGAACATATTTCGATCATTTTAATAATTTTTTCATTACTTACTAGCAGCTAAAAAATTTCTTTAGTGATAAAAATGTTCATATGTTACCATTGAAAACTCGTTTTTCGTTATAATTACATTTTGTTCCATTTGTTGCTCTGACAGAAGTTGAGATTATTTCCCTCCTTCATTCCATTGGTGTTATTCGTAATGAATATATATGTCATGATGTGTAAACAGAAGCATCCAATTCAAATTTACACTTTAAATGGTTTACATCATTCAACATTCTCAATCAGCTAATATTTCATTAATCTTTATAATATGTAACAATCCGAAAGAGCTAATTTTTTACCATCAGGAAAGATGTAGGTGATGTAGAATATCAATAAACATCATCAGCGTATACGTTTCGTTAAGCCTGGCTAGGATATTTTTTTAAAAATATTCTATGTTATCGTGATCATCAAAATATTTTGAACAAAAACTTTCGATTCAGATTTTCGTTAAACTTTGAAAAATTTGTATACAATTTAGCGTTCAATCTTACAGCAAAAGACAATCCATCTAATGACCATCTAACTATTTAAGCCAAAAAAATTAGCAGAAGAGAAAACTAAACAATAAAATGTCTTTCACATCACAAATTGATTGAATGTATAAGAATACAACGTCACTTTTTTCTGCTATAAAAAGAATCTTTTCCTAAAAATAATGGCAAATTTTATTGTAAAAATAGATACATATTTAAATATAGATCTCTATTAATGAAAAAAGAACAACAGAAAAATAAAGAAGCAAACAACAGCTAACAGGCGGACGGTAATTTTCAATAAATCTGAGGTAGAATCAAGAGATATGTTCATCGACTGCTGCCTGTCCCTAGTATTTTCATCAGCCGTAGTTTCTACTGAGATGGGATTTTGTAAATCGACGATAATTGGAGCTTGTGTCGGCTGATAACCCAGATTACACACAGATGCATTAACAAATATTGTCTCATTCGATTTTAGCTGACCGTAACCCTCGTGTATATGACCGAACACATGAAGTTTTGGACGAACAACGGATACACGTTTCAAAAGCTCCTTACAACCAGCTTGCATATTGCTTCGGGTTTTATCTAGAATAGTATTTGGTGGGCCATGAGTCAGCAGAATATCGGTATCCAAGGGAATTTTGGACCAGACATCTCGTATTTCAGCACTGTCACGCGTCAAATTGAATGCCCAACCACCAAATGCAGGCTGCCATGGGCTATGTGAATAAATCAGAAGTTGAGTTAGTATAGGTCGTTTTATAACTGAGCAAGAATGCTGTTACTCAGCCATTTTACGTTCAAAGGGCTGGCGTCTGAGAAAAATCTTTAAACTACTTACCTTCCATAAAATTTCCATCCTGTTACAGGATCTGTAAACGATTCGTCTTTGAGATAAATAATTCCGTATTCTTCTCTGAATAAAGGATCATTTAGTCGTACAATCATCGAATCGGCATCGTATTTTTTATCATGGAATCGTTTCCAGCACTTCTCATAATAATCTCGATGAAGAAGCACATCATGGTTTCCAGCAATAACGATTTTGAGACGAAACTTCGTCAGTGTTTTTAACCAGTTAAAAAATTCCTCAATTTCATTTTGAGAGCCAGTATAACTAAAATCGCCGCTATGCAGCAAAATATCACCATCTGGCAAGGTAAAGCCATGCTCACAATGAGTATCGCTTATGCAAACAAAACGAGTTTTTTCCATTGTTCTTGTCATATGGACTGTTCGCAACACAGTAACGTCTGTTGCATGTATATACAGGACCGTAAATAGTAGGTCAACTTTGGGGGGATGTAAAAAAGTTGTAATGCTTCGTATATCAAAATCTTTCTCTTTGGGTGTACATGCCTCACACACACAAAATTTACGGCTCTATATGAGTAAGACAGAATGACTCATCATCTACTTCGTGGACTGATGACTGAATCAATGACTTATTCATGAAAAGTGTCACTTAAGTCAACAACAGTCCTCGACCTATAATAACAATAACTTGAGCCAAACAACAACAAAAAGAATCTATAAAAAATTTAATCAAAAAATATATTAGTACGTTATAAAATCAGTTAACCACTTCCCGGATGTAATCCGGATCAGATGTTTCGTCCACTTAAGCGGTGCGTTTTTTAATAGTTGAATTTTGATCAATCAAAAAAAGCTGTCGACCACCAGATGAGTGACTCTATGCAACCCAAAATTTTGGGTTTTTCGAAAGAAATTTTAAAATGTATTCTGAAAATAGATAGGACGGAAAGACTATATTTAGTTTCTGAAGGTACTAAAGAGCTTTGAAGCGCCCATTCATACTTCGCTCTCGAACTTGTTTTCCCATTTCTCAGACTGAAAATGGTACTTCAGCCCCTCGATATAAGCTTTCGAGGGGGTGTTTCCGAGCCGTCGTCGAATTTCGGGGACGCCCGAGGTGCCGTCGCACTTCCGAGAGCGCGAGGGCTCGGGACTCTCGAACACCGCACCTTTGGGCGACGAGGGCTCGGCAGTTCCAAACATCTCTATTCGACTGCTCGAAATTTTTCCCGAGGGCTCGCTACCTATGATATTATGGAGAATTTACGCTTGCCGCAAGATCAAAACTTCGAACCTTTCGTAGATTAGCCGTGCATTTGTAATTATATATTATGTATGTGTATAGGACTATTTAATATAGTGATCGAATATGGCGCTGTCTGGGATTTTTGGGCGTTCTGGAATGTTTGGGGTTTTTGGGTGTTTTGGGGATGTTTGGGGACGCCGGTTTTTGAATTAAATCTTAGTTTTTTGTCAAATTGAGGATTTTTCGGGTTTTGGAGGTTGCCTGTAAAACCAATAAAGACTTTATTGAAAAATCGGCGCCGGTCGATCTATGTAGTTCGGTGTCTAGTTGAAAATAAAACAAACCCGAACTCCCCAGCTTGAAGTATATTAAAAAACCTTGGGAAAAACTTCAGAACCGTTTTTGGATCTTGATCTCTAGAAAACTCCTAAACCGTACGACATGAAGACAAAACATTTTTTTCGTTGCCGTAACCCATTAAACCTAACATTTACGGAAAGTTTGACTAAAATCGGTTGTACGGTGTCGGAGATAATTTCAGAGGGGGAGTTAAACTTAAAGTACTCATTAACTAGATATATGTGACTTTCTCCATCAAAAGACATAATGAACGGATCAATAAACTTCGAGAAATACGTCCATGTTAGACGATGGTGATCGATAGCTGACGCACACTCAGTTGATTATGCTTTTATTAGTAATGGTTTTTCAACACCTAATGTAGTACTTCATAGAATAAATTTGATACTGACAAAACGAGATGTGTGGACAAACTGTCTAAAGAGGAATTGACGAATCGCAATTTTTAAGCGTAAAAATGATGCAGCAATTCGCATTTTACTATTATTTGGCGAATTTTCAGTCAATTGATGCGAACTGTAACAAATTCGTACGGATACTCTTAAAAACGTTTACGAATTCGTAAACATGCGAATAGATCAAACATGATGTTCATCAATTCGCAAATAATTCGTAAAATTAGTTTACGAATTCGTGTTCACTGCTTTTATAACTAGATTAATTCGTAAATACAAAGTAGCGAATTCGTGTTACGAACTGATCTAGCGGTTGAAAATAGATCCCCGAATTCGTCTCTTCGCATCGATTCGCATAGATCTCACCTCAATTCGCCGTTATTTTTACGAATTCGTAAAACACGAAGTGCTGTCAAGGACGAGAAACATCTTTCACACAATTTTCTATCTTCTTCCTTGTCGTATTCAACATTCGACATTGTTCTGTAAATACTCACAGCCATCCTCACTGCCTCCTCCACCCGCGCATGCACAAAAAAAGGAGAGAAATTCCTTCCCAGGTCGAAGAAAATGACCTTAATTTCTATCTTCTTCCTTGTCGTATTCAACATTCGACATTGTTCTGTAAATACTCACAGCCATCCTCACTGCCTCCTCCACCCGCGCATGCACAAAAAAAGGAGAGAAATTCCTTCCCAGGTCGAAGAAAATGACCTTAAATAGAATCATTGAATGCTCATCTGATGATCGTGAATGACGCATAAATGAATCATGTTTAGATCATTTATGATCATAACTAGCTCATTTTAAGGTTATTTATTGTCACATATCTGGCACATAATAAGGTCATTTTTTGATGAGCTAATTATGACCTTAAAATGGCCATAGATTTATTATCATATTTAGCTCATTTTTGAATCATTTATAGGTCATTTTTACATCATAACAGATCATAAATGAGCCATTTATGTATCAGTCGCATGAACGAATTATGAGATTAAAATGGCCCAAAAAAAAGCGAGGCGCTTTTGGATCATTTTAAGGTCATACGAATGATACATTAATAGGTTACATATGACTAATCTATAGTATAAGAATTCGATGATTTCTTTCGTCTGGCTTCATTCGAATATAACGTTTTTCATTTCAGAGAAATAACCCCACGGCTAGAAACAAGCCCATTCTCAAAATTCAACCCCGATGAAGAGTCTCAAAGGCTGATTTTTCTATGCTTTCTAGAGTGCTGGATATCAGCCATTACAGCCATTTTCTTTTCTTTTTTTCAGCCTTGACTTGGCCAAAGTGTGAGAAACATGAAAGAGCCTCCTGTGGAAGTAGGGTTTTAATGTTTAGTTAATCAAGCGGAAGCAAAGTGCAGTTGCACTTTGTTTTTTGAAATGCACTAAGTTTTTGTCAGTTTTTGCTGCGACGCACTTTGTAAAAAGCTGTTTTATGTGGTGAGGGTGAGGGTGAGGGTAGCAAGAATGAAGAGAGAATGAATACGCAAGCCTCGCACACAGTGTTTTTAATAGAGGTTTTTCCAAAGTGGATTTCTGCACTTGAGTACTTTTTTCCAAAGCAACGTGAACTGCAAGCCTTAAAAAATTTAAAAAGCGCACTAAGCTAAAACTGTCAAAAACAAAGTGCAGAGCAGAATGTATTTCAAAAAGCAAAGTGTCCG